TGGGTTGTCTTTTTGTTGTCAAGTTGTAAGAGTTTTTTTTTTTTTAATTTTTTAATGTTTATTTTTGAGAGAGAAAGATAGAATGCGCGTGGGGGAAGGGCAGAGAGAGGGGGATACATAGAATCTGAAGCAGGCTCCAGGCTCCAAGCTCCGAGCTGTCAGCACAGAGCCTGATGCAGGGCTCAAACTCATGAACTGTGAGATCATGACCTGAACTGCAGTCAGACACTTGAACTGACTGAGCCACCTAGGTGCCCCATCAAGTTGTAAGAGGTTTTTAAAATATATATCACAGATACAAGTTCTTTGTCAGATATATAATTTGTAAATATTTTCTCTAAATCTGTGGGTTGTCTTTTAAATTTTTGGGTCGTGTTCTTTGAAATATAAAAGTTTTTCATTTTTCTATTTTGAGAGAGGGAATGTAAGTGGGGGAAGGTCAGAGGGTAAGGAGGAGAGAGAATCTTAGGCTCCATACTCAGTGCAGACCCTGACGCAGGCTCATCTCACCACTGTGAGAGCATGACCTGAGCCGAAATATAGAGTTGGATGCTTAATAACAGAGCCATTTAGGCACCCCAAAAGTTCTTCATTTTGATGAAGTGTAATTTGTCTGAATTTTTTTCTGTTGCTTGTACTCTTGGTGTCATATCTAAGAAACCGTTACTGTTCCAAGATGATGAGGATTTATGTCTGTGTATTCTTCAAAGAGTTTAATAGTGTTAGCTCTTAATTTAAGTCTTATTGATGGTGTGAGGCAGGGGTTCAACTTAATTCTTTTGCACATGGATATCCAGTTGTCTCAGTGCCATTTTCTGAAAAAGCTGTTTTTGTCCCCAGTGAGTTATCCTGACAGCCCCTTATTCATATAGAATCTCATGGTGTATTTCTCCTGAGACCACTCTATTAAGTAGTTTACTAATTTGTCATGATAAACTTATGATTTTTACAAATTCTTTGTAGTTTTGAAATTAGTCTTCAGATGAATTAGTTATAAAAATTAAACCTTAACTATTAGTAAAATGTTTATTTTTAGAATAGTAGTAATAATAAAAATAATAATAGCTAACTTTTATATAGTGCTTACTGTGTACCAGGTACTATTCCAAGAATGACACATATGTAACCTCATTAATCTCTATAACAACCTTATTAGGTAAATATAGTTAGTATTCTCTAAATGGATAAGGAAACTGAGCACAGAGAGAATAAGTAACTTTTTCAGGGTCACACAGCTAATGAGTCTTACAACCATATCAGTGCAGAGGCACATTGCAGTATAGTGTCTTTCTGTATAATGCTTTTTAGAACAGCCTCCATAAGTATAAATCTATGTATATGATGTACAGGTAATTGCCGTTGCCTCCTCACACTCTTCCTGTTTCCCAAACAGGAAGCATAAGCACATGCATATGCATGCGTGGGTACACACAGACACACAGCACACCACACCACACACACACACACACACACACAAAACCTCATATGTTGACAGACATCCACACTGACCTACTGAAGTGCCACCATTTGCCATTACAGTTACGTCTTGAAGTTTTCAAGAATTGTATGAATTTTAATGATAAGCTACTATATTTCTCTAGAGATTTACAAGGATTATAATCTATCATTAGTATATTTTGCTTGCAGGGTCATAAAAAATGAAACAGTGGCAGGTTAATATTGATGAGCAGAATTCCATGAGATATCACGGACTGCCTCAAGTGAGGGTCTCCCACTGAGCTTGGCAGTAGGAATGTCTGACAAAGATGGTGAAAAAGTGAGGTGAAATTATAAGTCACAGATAAACCCGGTCTATTCCATAGATTTATATGTGAAGTCTACTTCTAAGAAATGGATCTTGAAAATCTAGTTTAATATAATGTCTTTTAATTTCAAATTTAAATGTATTTTCATTAGGTGGTTGTAATCTGAAGAATAAATCTAATCAGGCATTGGAATATTGTGCTGAATTACTGGGTTTAGATCAAGATGATCTTCGTGTAAGTTTAACTACAAGAGTCATGCTAACAACAGCAGGGGGCACCAAAGGAACAGTCATAAAGTAAGTTCCTTAACTCATTGCTCTGTAAAAGTACTGCCTTGTTGTTTGTCAAGGAAATATCTTTCTTTGACAACATGGAGATTTAAAGTTGATCTTTTGGATGATTCATTTCATTATAATGTTCTAAAACACGTGCTCGATAATTAGAATTCTGTGCATCTTACTGCAGTAATCTACTATATAAATAAATGCTGACCTCCACAGCTCTTAAAGTTGTTCCTTGCATCTAGATATGCTGCATGGCACAGATTTGAAGTTTATAAAGTAAGAGTGGTTTACTTATACAGCTACAAAAATATGAGTTGATTATGTTAATCAGTATTTATTTTAGGCAATGTTTTTTCAGTTTTTCAGGACAGCTGGTTTTCTTTTTTTTAAAATTATAATTCATTCTTTTGAAGTGTACAGTTTAGTATTTTTTAGTATATGTACAATCTTGTGCAGCCATCACCATTATTTAGTTTCAGAAGGCAACAGACCATTTTATTTTAAAAGTGATTTTCCTTACAAATGGCATGTTCTAAAAATTGTTTTTTTAACTTTTTTTTAATGTTTATTTATTTTGTGAGAGAGAGAGAGAGAGAGAATCCCAAACAGGATTTGCACTATCAGTGTGGAGCCCTACATGGGGTTTGATCCCACAGACCGTGACATCATGACCTGAGCCAAAATCAGGAGCCAGACAGTCAACTGACTGAGCCACCCAGCTACCCCTGTTCTAAAACTTACTGAGGAGAACTCACTTTAGTAAAACACTCAGCGAATGTAATTTCCCCATACCTCTCAGATTCTTCATTTAGAGGAAATTACAAATGACAAGAAAATAAGAGTCTAGCCAGAATTTCTTAAATCTGTAACCAAGAATTTCTAGGTTGTGTTTGGGTATCTGTACATTTTTGGCTCAATATTTTGTTTTAGACATTTCTGTTTTTGATACATAAAATAAAATTGATATTCAGCCATCATTCTGGGGGCACTGTAAGATCTTCACTTATGGGGGGAAACAGTCAGATCCTCTATCCCTTGCTAAATAAGGCAGGGAGTGAGTTCTAGTGACATATTTCAGGAAGATTTTCAACAAATTAAACCGGGAGGATGTAAAAACAAACTTTTAGCCACTCAGATAATTTGGTAGCTCTTATGCTTTGGGAAACATTAGCAAGATATGTTTAGCCTGATTATTTGCTAAGCTGATTCCAAATTATTATAAACAAAACCTTAGCAAGGAGGGTGCATAGTAGTGCCATACAGTTGCTTGGTTCCTTAGAAATATTTCTGGGGTCCATGGAAAGTATGGATAAAGCACAGGTGTGTGATTTTCAGGTAGTATTTCCTCCATTTCCCCTTTGTTGCAAAGCAGTTCTTTTATGTGTTCTGTGTATGGAGTGCTCACATAGGATTCACTTAGGAAAGGCTTCTGTTGCAGGAAGTTGGAAAACCAGTTTAGACTTTTAAGGTTACTTCCAAATTTGACAATTTTTCTGGTGTTCTCGTGGTGCCCCATACTTACCTTTATGATAGCATTTAGCAAGGCGTTTGAAAATTCACTTTTATGGCAGTTTCTTAATCAGATTTTAACTTTCTTTTTTTTTTTTTTTTTTTTTTTTTTTTTTTTTTTTTTCAACGTTTATTTATTTTTGGGACAGAGAGAGACAGAGCATGAATGGGGGAGGGGCAGAGAGAGAGGGAGACACAGAATTGGAAACAGGCTCCAGGCTCTGAGCCATCAGCCCAGAGCCTGACGCGGGGCTCGAACTCACGGACCGCGAGATCGTGACCTGGCTGAAGTCGGACGCTTAACCGACTGCGCCACCCAGGCGCCCCAGATTTTAACTTTCTTGAGGAAGAGGGCTGTGTGTCTATATCTGCGACATCAAATACTGTAACACCATATAGTTACTTATATTAAATAGAATTGGACAGTTTGAATTTTAAGATGTAAGCATTTATTCCCAGTGTTAAACAAGGTGCCAAACTTTAGCTTGAATTAAGTAGTTTCTTTTGTGTTTGAAGAAAGTTAAAAGGAAGATGATTCCTCTGAATGATTTTTTTTATATATTCAGCATATAAAAGTATAAATTAAGGTCGTCAGTGGTTTGAGCCTAAACTTCTTTTACTCAATAATATATTTTTTATCTATGTGTAGATAATTTCTATAGTTCTTTTAGTATGCTTCTTGCCTCATTTATCTGTGCCTATTCACAAATGACCTTTTGTAGCTATTTATTTTGTTCTTCACAGTGAATGTGTGTAGGTACCCTTTGATCTTGGGTATCTGGCATTATTTTCACAATTATTACTGTAAAGAATTTTCATTGGTATAGTCTTCTTTTGTAGGGTACCCTTGAAAGTGGAGCAAGCAAACAATGCTCGCGATGCCTTGGCAAAGACTGTCTATAGCCATCTTTTTGATCATGTGGTCAACAGAGTAAATCAGTGTTTTCCTTTTGAAACATCATCTTATTTTATTGGAGTCCTAGATATTGCTGGTTTTGGTAAGTATAGTTTTGTTTGTGAATTTGTATGTTATTTTTTATTCAGTTTTTCACATATATCTAAAATTAAAAGAACCATTTTTTCCCTTGCAATACCTTTCACTCGATATGTTTTCAGTTATGTGTCCATACCTACATTTCATTTTATGATATGATTTAATTAGGAAGCTGATGCTTAACAAAAGGAAAAACTCAGAGGTTTTGGTCACACTAATGCTAATAATAAAACATGTTGATTGAAACCATTATAGTTAGGAAATGTCTCTGTACTCCTAAATGAATACAACTGAATAAAGGTAAAGTCTTGAGTCCTACTAATAAAGAGGATTAAGTCATTAAAACCACTGACTACAATGTAATGCTGGATATAAGTTGACCTAACATATAACCCAAACTCATTGCTATGTGTAGAAATTCATCACTAGTGTTAACAGATTGCTATTTCCAATGAATTTCCACCAAATGAATAAATATGTTTATTAAAGATATTTTATACATATAACTACATAATATAAATATAAATATATATTCAGGGTAGTATATATTAATTTATATTCAAGATAAATGTTTGAGAACAGCCACGGAGCTGTGCAACCAGGAATGAAAAGAATCACTAACATCTGAGTGCCAGATGTATTATTGTTGTGAATGACTATCTCCAAGTAAATCGGACCATTTTTATATTGGGCTTTATCAATGTGAGTGTTCCTTCTGGCTGCATAGGAGTGGTGTTTTCCTCCTGTGTAGTTTGCTTTTGCCAAGAGAAGGTATGAGTATTTACTTTTGGGGAGGGGTAGAATTTTGGTTTTGATGTGATACATATTTTAAAATTTATAATTATTACCTTTGGTTCAAAGGTAGAAAAACACTCATCACTGAGGTAAAATTTTAAAATCTTCAGACATTGGTTCCTGGTCTGCACCAGTTTTAGTGTAACAGGCACATAACAGAATCATAACATTTTAGAGCTACAGGGATCTTAGAGGTAATGTAATGCAGTCTCTTTGCTTTAGAAATGAGTGAGTATTCGTAATATTTTTTGACTATAATTTTACTGATTATACAGAAAAAGATTTAAAGCACTTGTCTTTTAAGCCACTTTTGTTCTTCAGTTAATTTAGATTGCTTTAACACCTTGTGCTTAAGAAACTGGTTTAAGTGGTTTACGTTTTGTATCTTTTACGATACGACATTTATCTCCTTTAACGTGTACCTTTTTTGTTAAGTAAAATGCAATTATATTCAATACTTAATTGAAATACCTAACAAAATTTGTCTTGAAATAAGAGAATTTGGAGAGTATAATGCAAATATATGTATTTTTTTTACTTAATTTTAAATTAAGCATTGACATAATAAAATGTTATCCAAAGATAAATTTATAGTATGAAGTTGATTTGATGATGACTTTTGATTCTGGTTTTATGTTTTCAGAGTACTTTGAACATAACAGTTTTGAACAATTTTGCATCAACTACTGCAATGAAAAGCTTCAACAGTTTTTTAATGAAAGGATTCTGAAGGAGGTAATTGCCATTACAATTTAAATTTAAGAACTGCATTAAGCTATTTTAATTTCAAGGAACAGAGGCATGCTGCCCCAGTTGATGGGGTATAATATGTAAGGTGGCCCAGAGGATCAGAGATGCCCAGAAAAGGCCCCAGGGGCTAGCTGTTGCTCAGGCACAACAGAAGTGTTTGTTGATACAGTGGAAGCTTAGGGACCCAATAAAAACCCTAACAGGCATCTCAGAAGTGAACATCTGTTGCTTCCTAGTGACTTTTGCTAGACTTGGTATTTCATTTTTTTCTTTTCCTGAGACTGTTGCCCCTACTTCTGCCACTGCCAAACAACTTTCTACTCTATCCCTGACGTTGGCATCTGCCACCCTTCTTCTATGTCTCTCTGCTTCTGCCCACTCTGCTACGTGCTCACCCTCTCTCTGTGTGTGTCAGGAAAGCCACCAGATCGAGGGATGCAGTGGGGCCATTTGCTTGGAGTGCCTCTGGGCATTGTATCCTCTGCCACACTACTGTGTGCACTGCCCAGGCGCCTGTCAGTGGTGTGCCTACGGCTGGCCTCCAGTCTCTGGTCCAGGAAGGGGCTTGCTGCCACTGCTCCTAGTGAGTAAGTGGGCATGGCCAATACTCACAGTCCCGAGTCTAGGAAAGTTATAATTCTTTAGAGTGCAGAATAAGTAAAGATAGGTTTGGATCAGTTGATTTGTGATCAGGCTCCCCATTTTTACCTTATGTTTGAATTCTCCAGTATTTATCTACCAGTACCCTTGACTTTCCTTCCTTTGTGCTTTTTGAGATATGTTCTACTGAATGTGGATGGTAGAGTTAGAGGGAACTTAGAAATGATCTAGTCAGCCTTTTATTTTACAGACGAAGAAAGTGTATTTCCAGAGCAGTTTAATGACTGCTGCAGGTCTGAACCTACCTTCCAGCTGCCTGACTGACAATACTGTTTTCTTCTCATACTAGCATTGCTGTTTTCCAGTTCTGTTCTTAACTGTATCTGGATCTGAAATATGAAGTATTCTTTCCTGTTCCCATTCCATTAATCTTTTCCCACATGTTTGTTATGTTTTTGTCTTTGTGGGTTTCCCAGCACATTCATTTTTATACTTTTTACTTGTATACTATAGTTAAAGCCAGTTCTGGCATAAATAAACAGGTAAACCAAATACTTAGCAGTTAAGATAATTACTCTGAAAATGTTTTATCCAGCCACGTTAGTTCTTCCATTACTATTTGAAGTTGTACATGTGTACTTCTCACTTAACCTCCCCTAATTCTTCCCTTCCATGCCATCCCAGCAAGCTTTATCTAGAAACATAACGAGGAAACAGTATCTTGATATATGTTTATTTCTTTAACAGTTCCTTAAAATAAATGTTTGGGGGTACCTGGGTGGCTGAGTTGGTTAAGTGTGTCCTGACTCTTGATTTTGGCTCAGGTCATGACCTCATGGTTCATAGGATTGAGCCCCAAGTCAGGCACTGTGCTAACAGCGTGGAGCCTGCTTGGGATTCTTTCTCTCAAAATAAATAAGTAACTTTAAAATAAAATAAAATAAGATAAATGTTTGGATTTCAAATTCCAAATTCAGATTGTGTCTCAAATGGACGGGACTTCTAAAATGATAGAAACCTTTTCTAGTATATCTTGTGGGAGGAAATATTTAAACATTCGGGAAAAAAAGATTAAAATACATGTCAACCTACACTCATTTCATTTTCACCCATCTGTAGTAAAATCCTTTTTTTTTTTTTTTTTTTTTTTTTTTTTTAATTTTAAGAAGATACCAGACTTAGTCTAGGAACTCAACTTTAATTTGTAAATTATTTTTCCAAGTTACACTTATTTTTCCCAGTAATATATTCCTTATATATATCACTGTGTAGATACTAGAACCCATTTGCAATTAAATGCTGTTTCCTTGATTTTAGTGCTTGTCTGTATATGTTAAGAAATTTCTCCTGTCTTTGGACAACAGTTTAGGACTAAAACAGTTTAGTTTGTTTAGCTCTTCTTTAAACTTTTAAAAATTATCACAGCCGGTTTTTACATTCTTCTGTAAATTTCAGGGGTTGGTAGACTCTGGCTTTTGGGAGAAATCCAACATGCTGCCTATTTTTGCAAATGAAGTTTTATTGGAACACAGCCATGCTTTTTCATTTACTGTTATCTGTGGCTGCTTTTGTGCTGCAGTGGCATAATTAAGTAGTTTTGACAAAGACACTATGCTTTGTCTCCCTCCCTCTCTAACCTCTTTTTTTTTCTTCCCCTCCCTCATGGACTTCTGTGATTGGGGGTAGGAGGGAGGGGAGGGTGGGTGATGGGTATTGAAGAGAGCACCTTTTGGGATGAGCACTGGGTGTTGTATGGAAACCAATTTGACAATAAATTTCATATTTAAGAAAAAAAAAGATACTATGGCCCACAGCTGAAAATATTTACTGTCTGGCTCTTTACGGAAAAAGTTCGTTAACTCTTGGTCTATTTTACTGAGAAGTTTGACTTTAAAATTGCTAACGGGGTGCCTGGGTGGCTCAGTTGGTTGAGCGTCTGACTCCTGATTTTGACTCAGGTCATGATCTCATGTCGAGCTCCATGCTGAGCATAAGACCTCCTTGGGGTTCTCTCTCTCCCTCTGCCCTTTTCCCCTGCTTGTGCTCTCTCCCTCTCTAAAATAAAGTAAAATTAAATTTAAAAAATGAATTTAAAATTGCTAAAGATATTTCAAAGCCTTGGTATTTCCTTGCTTTTGAATGGTTACAAACAGATCTGCATATTTCAGAAAAATATGCTTATCTGCAGGAGGGAAAATTTCCACATATGTAAATCATATGTTGGCCATTTAATTTCTGACTTCATATTGCTTTAGGGACAAGGATTTATCTTCCCTAATGTTTTGTAAGTCTCTTTAGCTCCTGAACTTACTGGTATGAACCTTTGTACTCTGGACTAATCAGTAAATGTTATGATCAGAAGTGGCACAAAACAAGCCATTTCTTATATAGTATTTCCATATCTATGATTATGATTATTTCATTTTAGGAACAAGAACTCTATCAAAAAGAAGGTTTAGGTGTTAATGAAGTGCATTATGTGGATAATCAAGACTGTATAGGTATGTTTTTTTTTATTCCACTTTTGGGAACTATGGGAAGATATAGTGAATGCTTTTACTAGTAATTTTTCTGTGCTCTGTGATTGATATTACTAGTTATAGGACTTGAAGCTGTGGTATTGGAGAGGTTTTACTTCTCTGGTACTACTGGGAATTTATTTTTCCTACCAAGGCATCAAATTCAGTATGTTGAAAGTTTTCCTAAAATTTTTTCTGTTTGCTGTGATCAATATTTTTGTTCTTAAACCTAACGTGAGTAACTTAAGAAGGAAACGGGTGCCTGGGTGGCTCAGTTGGTTAGGCCTTGGGCTTCAGCTCAGGTCTTGATCTCACGGTTCATGGATTTGAGCCCCGCATCGGGCTCTGTGCTGACAGCTCAGAGCCTGGAGACTGCTTTGGATTCTGTGTCTTCCTCTCTCTCTACCCCTCCCCCGCTCACGCTTGGTCTCTGTCTCTCTCTCTCAAAAATAAACAAACATTTAAAAAAAATAAAATAAAAAAGAAGGAAACTAAAC